GGCGGTGGCGGAGAGGGGGGCGGCGGTGAGGGCGGCGGCGGCGATCGCGGTGGTGGTGACGGCGGCGGCGGAGATGGTGGCGGCGGGGTCGGTGGCGGCGGGCTGGGCGGCGGCGGCGAGGGCGGCGGCGGTGACGGCGGCGGCGGCGATGGAGGCGGCGGGCTGGGTGGTGGCGGCGACGGGGGCGGCGGCGAGGGCGGAGGCGGGCTTGGCGGCGGCGGTGACGGCGGCGGTGGCGAGGGCGGCGGCGGCGACGGCGGCGGCGGCGACGGTGGCGGTGGGCTCGGTGGGGGCGGTGACGGAGGCGGCGGTGAGGGCGGCGGCGGCGAGGGCGGCGGCGGGCTCGGCGGCGGCGGTGATGGTGGCGGCGGTGAGGGCGGCGGCGGCGAGGGCGGCGGCGGGCTCGGCGGCGGCGGTGACGGCGGTGGCGACGGCGGCGGCGGTGACGGTGGCGGCGGGCTCGGTGGGGGGGGTGACGGCGAGGCGGAGGGCGGCGGCAGCGAGGGCGGGGCGGAGGGCGGCGGTGGCGAGAGCAAAACGTATTGTGACTCCGCGGTCCCCCAGACATCCGTGCCTGGCAGTGCGAGCTCAAAAGTGAAACCGCTCTTGACCTTGATGAAGGGGCCTCCTGCAACGTCCTTCAGCGGTGGGGACAGATTCCAGCCGTCGTGGCTCTCCCCACCAAGGCCGTGCCTGCTCGAGATCGCGACGCCAGAGCCGCTGCTGTACATGTTCACGATCGTGGCGTAGTCGGTCACAGCACCAGTCGAGCTGGTGTAACTGCCACCGAGCTCCAGGCAAGCGTCTGCGGAGCGCACCTTGTGGATATCGTCGATGCACTCTCCGGCGACAAAAGCGAGCAAGAAGGGCTGGTCGATGAAGAGGCAGTCGTTGGTGAGGAGTTGCGTTCCCCCGATCGGGCACCTGCTTGTCCAAAGGTGTACCCACGGCGTGGGGGGTGGAGATGACGGCTGCGCCTTCGCTCCTGGAAGGAGATCGGTCAGGAGCAAGGCGGGTCCGAAGAACCAGAAAATTTTGGCAAGGTCGAGGTGAGAAGCGCCCGGCACGACGGGGTCGGGCACGGGGTCGGGCGCAGGGTTGAACGGAGCAACGAGGGCGCCGCACGCAGTCTCAGTCTCGGTCGGGAGCGCCGCAGGCGATGCAATCGCCGTTCCGCGCACCGTTGGGCTGAACTCGTTCTCTGGCGTGGTGTTGGAGAGGTCGAGAACCTATACACGAGTCAGGGCGTCCTTGGAGCCAATCTCCAGTTCTATTGCTTCCCGCATCGGGCACGAACACCGACTCGAGGAGCTCGGAGACGCCGCCAGAGCCGTACGAGGACAGAGCAAAGGCCGAGCAGCCCAGACCGATTACCACGGAGAAGAAGATGCACAGCAGGTTGGTCGAACACAGGTTGGTCGAACAGAACTTGCCGAAGCGCAAGCGGAAGCCGGAGCACGTCGAGGCCGGCTCCGTCTCCTGCACGGCGCCCTAAACGTGCGGACGAGGGTTAGTCACGAGCAGGGCGCGCTGCACGGGCAAGGCAGCACGCACCAAGGGCGTCGTCGACGACGGCGGGGCGTCGTCGACGAACGCGTTGCCGGAGCCGACGCCAGCGAGGTCTTCCTCGCTGACGTCCGTTCCGAGCAGGGCCGCGAAGCCGTTGGGGTCGACGCGGCCGATCGGGGTGAGGCTCTTGGTGGTCATCTTGGAGCGGTCGACCAGGTTGGACTCGCCCTTGCGCTCGATCTTGCGGAGCGGGGAGGGGGTCCTCCACTCGTCGATGCCCTGCGTGTGACGTACGGCAGGCGAGAGGTCACAGGATCGAGGTCACAGGATCAATAAGTACCCGCCTGTAGGACTCCCGTGTCCCCGCAATACCCGCGTGTGCACAGAAGGGTGCTGGAGGCGCTCACCGCCGGGGCGGGCTTCTCCACTGAAAGCTCCTCGGTCGAGACGTTCCAGTCGGCGTCGCCCTACACGCATCGAACGCGGGGCGGGGTCAGGGTAGTGGGTCGGCAGACGCCGGCGCGCAGATTGCCAGGCGCTCGCCGCCGGGGCGGGCAGCCCCTCCTCGGCGTTCGCGCTCGGCTTGTGGGCGGCGAACATGACCTTGGCCCGGTCCGAGTCGACCGTGTCCGCGGCGGTCGCCTCTTCTGCGGCCAGGTCATTCTTGAGGATGCTCTCGTCGAGGGGGGCCTCCGCGCCGGACTCGGCCACGGTGACGGCGCCCTAAACGTGCGGACCAGGGTTAGGCACGAGCAGGGCGCGCTGCACGGGCAAGGCAGCACGCACCGAGGGCGTCGTCGACGACGGCGGGGCGTCGTCGACGAACGCGTTGCCGGAGCCGACGCCAGCGAGGTCTTCCTCGTCGACGTCCGTTCCGAGCAGGGCCGCGAAGCCGTTGGGGTCGACGCGGCCGATCGGGGTGAGGCTCTTGGTGGTCTTCTTGGAGCGGTCGACCAGGTTGGACTCGCCCTTGCGCTCGATCTTGCGGAGCGGGGAGGGGGTCTTCCACTCGTCGATGCCCTGCGTGTGACGTACGGCAGACGAGAGGTCACAGGATCGAGGTCACAGGATCAATAAGTACCCGCCTGTAGGACTCCCGTGTCCCCGCAATACCCGCGTGTGCACAGAAGGGTGCTGGGAGGCGCTCACCGCCGGGGCGGGCTTCTCCACTGAAAGCTCCTCGGTCGAGACGTTCCAGTCGGCGTCGCCCTACACGCATCGAACGCGGGGCGGGGTCAGGGTAGTGGGTCGGCAGACGCCGGCGCGCAGATTGCCAGGCGCTCGCCGCCGGGGCGGGCAGCCCCTCCTCGGCGTTCGCGCTCGGCTTGTGGGCGGCGAACATGACCTTGGCCCGGTCCGAGTCGACCGTGTCCGCGGCGGTCGCCTCTTCTGCGGCCAGGTCAATCTTGAGGATGCTCTCGTCGAGGGGGGCCTCCGCGCCGGACTCGGCCACGGTGACGGCGCCCTAAACGTGCGGACCAGGGTTAGGCACGAGCAGTGCGCGCTGCACGGGCAAGGCAGCACGCACCGAGGGCGTCGTCGACGACGGCGGGGCGTCGTCGACGAACGCGTTGCCGGAGCCGACGCCAGCGAGGTCTTCCTCGCTGACGTCCGTTCCGAGCAGGGCCGCGAAGCCGTTGGGGTCGACGCGGCCGATCGGGGTGAGGCTCTTGGTGGTCATCTTGGAGCGGTCGACCAGGTTGGACTCGCCCTTGCGCTCGATCTTGCGGAGCGGGGAGGGGGTCCTCCACTCGTCGATGCCCTGCGTGTGACGTACGGCAGGCGAGAGGTCATAGGATCGAGGTCACAGGATCAATCCGTACCCGCCTGTAGGACTCCCGTGTCCCCGCAATACCCGCGTGTGCACAGAAGGGTGCTGGAGGCGCTCACCGCCGGGGCGGGCTTCTCCACTGAAAGCTCCTCGGTCGAGACGTTCCAGTCGGCGTCGCCCTACACGCATCGAACGCGGGACGGGGTCAGGGAGTGGGTCGGCAGACGCCGGCGCGCAGATTGCCAGGCGCTCGCCGCCGGGGCGGGCAGCCCCTCCTCGGCGTTCGCGCTCGGCTTGTGGGCGGCGAACATGACCTTGGCCCGGTCCGAGTCGACCGTGTCCGCGGCGGTCGCCTCTTCTGCGGCCAGGTCATTCTTGAGGATGCTCTCGTCGAGGGGGGCCTCCGCGCCGGACTCGGCCACGGTGACGGCGCCCTAAACGTGCGGACCAGGGTTAGGCACGAGCAGGGCGCGCTGCACGGGCAAGGCAGCACGCACCGAGGGCGTCGTCGACGACGGCGGGGCGTCGTCGACGAACGCGTTGCCGGAGCCGACGCCAGCGAGGTCTTCCTCGCTGACGTCCGTTCCGAGCAGGGCCGCGAAGCCGTTGGGGTCGACGCGGCCGATCGGGGTGAGGCTCTTGGTGGTCTTCTTGGAGCGGTCGACCAGGTTGGACTCGCCCTTGCGCTCGATCTTGCGGAGCGGGGAGGGGGTCCTCCACTCGTCGATGCCCTGCGTGTGACGTACGGCAGGCGAGAGGTCACAGGATCGAGGTCACAGGATCAATAAGTACCCGCCTGTAGGACTCCCGTGTCCCCGCAATACCCGCGTGTGCACAGAAGGGTGCTGGAGGCGCTCACCGCCGGGGCGGGCTTCTCCACTGAAAGCTCCTCGGTCGAGACGTTCCAGTCGGCGTCGCCCTACACGCATCGAACGCGGGACGGGGTCAGGGTAGTGGGTCGGCAGACGCCGGCGCGCAGATTGCCAGGCGCTCGCCGCCGGGGCGGGCAGCCCCTCCTCGGCGTTCGCGCTCGGCTTGTGGGCGGCGAACATGACCTTGGCCCGGTCCGAGTCGACCGTGTCCGCGGCGGTCGCCTCTTCTGCGGCCAGGTCATTCTTGAGGATGCTCTCGTCGAGGGGGGCCTCCGCGCCGGACTCGGCCACGGTGACGTCCTCAACGGGTGCGTTCTTGGCGCCGCTCGCCTGTCGGCGAGGGAGAGTGGGGCGCGTGTTGGAAGGAGACTGGCGATCTGCGACAAGCGCACACGCACCGCCTTGGCTCCGAGGAGCGGAGGCAGATTCGGCGCGGAGAAGACGACGACCTTGATGCTGCCGTCTTCGGCCGACATGATGCCGACCTTCACTGTCGTCTTGTTCTCTGACATGTTGTTGATCGAGTTCACTCGTACCTATGGGGGGCAGTGGATGGCGGGTGTGTGAAATTGAAGGGAGGGGGGAGGGGGGGGGGAAGTGGCGCTCTTAGTTGGTCAAACGGCTGGATCTCGGCCAATCTCGGCTAATCTCCTGCTCTGGTTGCTGCACGCGTTCGGGGCCATCAATTCTCTCTGCTCTGAGAGCGTCTTTGGGGGGGGATCGAGAGGAAGGGGGGGGGGGGGGCGCACCTACTCGCAGCGCACGCAGCTTGAGGCCCAGCACCAACGATCACCGCCGCACGCCCGTCTCGCCCACGTTGTTCTCTGCGAGGGCGTTGGCGGCGGCGGGCGAGCGTCAGTAGCATAAAATGGGACGAGCAAGGTACGGGCTCGTTGTGGGGGTCGCGGGGGCGCAGTGGCATGGAGGCGACCCGCGGCCGCGCGCTCAGCAGCGCTCCGACTGCGATCCAATTGTGCCGGATTCGCGTCGCTCGATGCTCGGAACGAGCCGCTCGCACGGCGGTCGCAGCCGGGCGTGCAACGCGCACGGGCTCGCTGCAGTGGTGGTTGTGGGGCGAGGCGTGCCCGGGCACGCGCGTGGGCAGCTCTCATCTCGCGCTGCGTCGCGCCGGGCGGCGGGCGAGGCGAGGCGCGCCTGCAATCTCAGTGGACATGGTGCCGCTGTCTTGGCCACAACGCAACGACCTCGGCCGCCTAAAACCAAACGAAATCCCATTAGATTCCCCTCACAACATGGAACTCAATCCATGAAAAAGAGTGGGGGGAAGGAAACCGCGGCTGCTGCGGCGTGGAGAACTTGACGCCGCACGCCTGAGGTAGGGGTACCGGACGGATCGGAAAAGGAGAGTACGGACATGAGGGGGTTGTGACTTGTGTAGCTCGCACACGCCGGCTCGGCTCCGAGGAGCGAAGGCGACGAAGACGAAGAGAACGCAATCGCCGAAACGTTGTCGACCGTCTTGACGGAAAGCTGCCGTGACATTAGATTTTCAAGATGACTGTACCTGTGAGGTTGGCGAGGGAAAACAGGGTCGGGCGCCGATCAGGGAGATGCAAAGAGTCAAGACGCGATTGAAGGTGGTGTCCCCGATGGCGGGTGCAGGCCAGCGCTCGAGTGGCCCTAGCGGCTGCGGACACTCAAGATGCAGCAGGGCGGGAACTTTCGCTCGGGTCAATCTCGGATCAATTGAGAGAGGGAGCCGGAGAGAGGAGAGCCGCGCCTACGGGCAGCACGTCGCGGCGTGAGCGTCGAGACGAGGCCGCCGGCACGCTCTCTCGCGTCCTCGGCGCTCGGACTGGAGCCGGGCGGTGATTGGCGAGCAAGCGGATCGCTCTCTTGGACTCTTGCCGGAAGAGAGGGAGGGCGGTCGGGCGGGCTCGCGCGGGACAAGGGTGGGGAATGGGCAGCAGCGGACGCGTCTCGTGGCTTCCTCGATGGCAGTGGTGGCACCTGCGAGCGGGAGTGGGCAGGCGGTGCGAGGCCGAGGGGGTACAGCCGCTCGCGCGACGAGCGAGGGCGCATCGCATGGAGGGGGAGGTGAGGGGGCGGCGGGTTCCGTGAGCAATAGGCGTCGCGGGGGTCTAGGCGTGCAGCTTGCGGCGGCATAATCGGGCGCAATGAGGCGCGGCAAGCGCGAGCGGACGAGGAAGTGGAGTGCCTTGTGGATGCCGCGGTGCTTTTCTGGACGGGGGAACGTGGGGAACATCGGGGCCAAAACAGCTGATGGGGTACTATTTTCAATCAAAAAGAGCGCCTTCGGCACTACTCTATCGAGGTCTCGCGGAGCGTTTTTAGCCCCGCGCTACCCAGTCGCAGTCGTGCGACGTAGCGGGGGGCCACAACTACGTTTACGAAAACATAAGTAGTCCCGCGAGGTGTGAATTTGGCCGCCCCAGTAGCCCCCTTTACAATTGACTGATTTTGCTGCGTGCGCGTCCCCGCTGGCCTCGTTTAATGCGAGAGATCTCTTCTTAATGCGTGGATGGCGGTGGCGCCGATGGCGGCGGCGCGGATGTGTCACAGGGCACAGCGCTGTGAGGGATGTGTACACCAGATCACGCACAAATCACGCTGTGCGCAAAACTAGAGAGTTGTTGTTCAAAACTATGTGTTCGGGTTGCACGTACGGTCGGCTCGTCGGCTGTCACTGACGTAGCCTCTTGCCATATGTGCGATCCCTCCCCCGGCCCACGCCTAGCCCCCCAAAGTGAAAGCAATCAAAAAACCGAAAACGTGTGTGCGGGCCGCCCTCTGTCTGGGGCGGTCAACACCGGACCTACCTACCTATTGCATATGTTGTATGTAGGAAGGTGAAGAACAGTCAGGCTCGGACTGGACACCAACGCGGTATGGGTGTGGACGCTGGACAGATGATGACGACACGCACTACGGGGTGCACAGACCCCCTATCTGGAGTTTAGGTAAGGTATGGTGGAGTCCCGGCCCGCCCGCCGGCTGCTCGCCGGCGGTCCCGCCTCGGTCGACGCCGCCTTTGCCGCGCTCGGCGGCGGCTACGTGCGCAAGTAGGCGTGTGCGTCATGACTCCGGTGCCAGCTACACGGCCACGCCGCGGGACAACGGGGTGGCCCAGGGGGCGGCGGGGGAGCACTCTTCCGCCGGAGCAGCGGGTGATATTCCCGCTACTCGCTCGAGTTTGAGGTGCGCCGCGCCTCGCCTGTGTTGCCTTCCCGGCCGCCCCAGCCGCCCTCACCGTTCCTCATCCCCTCCCCCACCCCCTCCCCCTCAGGCTAGGCCCTCGCCGCCGCCGCCGCCGCCGTCTCCGCCAGAGCCGCCGCCGTTTCCTCCCCCCCCACCCCCTCCGACGCCGTCGCCTCCGCTGCTCCCGCCACCACCGCCGGCCGCCTCAGCTCTCCCTCGCCCACCTCCCACACACCCCCACCGCCCTCCGCGCGTCCCCGCACGCCGCCTCCGCGCCCCCACGCCCCCACGAGGACCTCCCGCCCCGCCCTCCCCGCGTCTCAGACCCTTGGCCGTGCTCCGCTCGGGGAAACTCGGCGCCGCCGTCGCGAGCACTGCTGCCAGCGCAGCCGCCGGGCGACGCGACAGCGGCTAGCGGCCGTGAGAGCCTCTCCAGTGCGGGCTGGGGGCGGCGGCGGCGCACGGCGGGTGGCGGGCGAGCAGCCATTTATGGGCCGCCTCTCGGGCGTGCGGCCACGGCCCGTGCGGCGCGAGGAGAGGGCGGCGCGCTCGGCGCGCTGGCGGCGGTGAAGCCTCCCAGAGTGGGCGCTGGCTGGCCGAGGGCGTCGGGCGGGTGCGGGGCGGCACTCAGGCCGCCGCAACGGGCCGTGGTGGCCCGTGTGGCGTTCGTGAGGGACCGTTTGTGCGCCCCGGTAGCCACCCGGCCGGCGGCCACCGGGGCCGGAATTGGCAGCGGCTTGGGCTGTGTGTGGGCTGGTCGCGGTGGGGGATATGGTGCTTGTTTATGGTCCTCATTTCCCCCACTCACCACTCCCAACCGGCAGGGGCCAGGGCCTCCACCCGGGGCAATTTTGAAGGCCTCTGCCATCGCTCAGGTCCCAAACCATGTGCTCGTCCGCGCAGGGAGGGGCGAGGGCTCGGTCGCGCCCCCCAGAGAGCAGAGTGAGGTGTTCGGACTGAGCGACGGCAGGACCTTTGAAATATCAAAATATCATAAACAGATAAACTGTGACGTCCGTGAGGCCCCTACGGCCGGTGGCAGTGAGTGGGTGATTGGAGGGCCATAAACTACCATCACGCCGCCCATCGGACCCCTCCTCCACCCCAAACACAGTCCAAACCGGGGCCCCGGCGGCGGCCGGCGCGGCGGCGGCGACGCACGCCGGCGAAGCACCATCAAGCTGCTGTACGGCCTCGGCATCGCCTACCCAGGCTTAGCTAGACTGAGACATATTGTGCACACGGTCTGTTTCTACAATATATACACTAACACTGTACCTCCCAGAGCTCATCCCGGTCCATTACGGCCATCCTCGTCCTCAGGCGCCGGGCTCCGCCGGCCAGTCGCCCGCCAGATCCGGCTTCGTCGGGAGGGCGTCGTCGCGGAGCACCATCGCCGCTGTCGGCGCTCCTGCGGCGGTCCGGGGGCACGTCTGGGTGGCCAGGGGCGGGGGTCGAGCCGTGAGTGCTCCGCCGGGGCGAGCTTCTGGGTCCATGGCACCGCTGCCGGACCCGTCCGAGAGCCTTTCCGGACACGTTCGCTCGATGGCCTAGCTGGCGGCCGATATTCGACAACCAAAGCTCCGGACGCCGCGGCCAAAGATCCGCGCACAGTCCCAGGGCTCGTGGTGAGTGTGGGGTGTGCCTCACGAGGCGGAGAGGCCGCGTGAACTCCCGTAGAAGCTCGCGAAGTGCGGATTTGGAGCGCCGCGCCGGACCTCCGCCGGGGCCCGCCGGGGCCACGGGAGAGGTCAGAAATCGTTTTGGGGGGTAGACTACTACAAACCGGTCACGGTCCCGTCCAGCTTAGTCCCTTGTATGCATACTTGGCCGGCCCTGGGCCGCTCGGCACCGCGCGGGGGTGCCGTTAAGCGACCCTACGGATTTTCAGTGGTCGATTTTGGCCAAAAAGCCCAATGTGAAGCGACCAGCCCTGACAGCAAGGCGTGAGAAAGCACGGCGTGTCTCCATTGTCGTTGGCTGCGGTGTGCGGAACTCTGTTCGCGCTCCGAGTTTCGCGCTCGCCGATCTGCGAGAAACTCGCTGACGGGCACCTCTGTGTGTTCGGTATGGTCTTCTGTTGACAGATATGTCACGTGTTGGCAAGTGTTCCTAAGTAAGTTTCTTGGAATCTTGGAGCACTTTTGGAGTGCAGTCGGCAACCTCACATCCGAATCGCCCGCATTTATCTCTGAACAAACCTGCGGCTGTGGTGTGGCGAGTGAGTGTCTGCACGTGCAGAGGGGCGGAACGAGCCGTAACCCAAGCCTAACCCGAGACTAACTAAGTAACCCGGGGCGCTAACCCGGCGCTACATGGAAGGGGGGCATACGTTAGGACGGGTTAGTGCCGGGTTAGCGTCGGGTTATGGTAACCCGTTCTGACCCGTGCTGACCCGTGCTTGGTTAGTGTGGCTTAACCCGGTGGAACCCACACTAACCCGCGCTTACCGATAGACTCACTAGTGTGTGTGTACTTGTTTGTTACGTGAAAACCCGCTGGGACGGTAGTGCAGCGAAAGCACACGCTGGGGGGGCGGGTTCCCTTTCGCCTTTCTTGGGGGAGAATGCGTGCAAGAATGGATCCTTGGATCGGTTTCATTACGGCCGAAGTTTTGCGGGTTTTCGGTAATAAATCAGGAATCGCATCGGCGCTGCGCCGAAATCGCCATTGCGACGGCTGGTGTCCTTCTTTTTTCCGGCTTCGCGTGGTTGAGCAGGGCCACTGGGCCGGGCGATGTACCTCATCTTTGGCATAATCTCCACCGTCCTCGTGCTGTCCCTCGTGCAGGCAAACTTTGAGTTTGAACGGTGCACGGACGTCGCCAGAGTGCGGCAGGATCCGCACCTGGACCTGTCAAAGGGCGGCCGGGCGGACTTCCGGGGCGAGGACGGTGCGCTCTACAACTACCTCTCCACGCCGGGGCTGAGCGTCAATGTGCGGATCGAGGAGGCGCTCTACACCCTCCACGACGGCAAACTCCTCGTCAATGGGACCTTCATGACGGAGGTCCACGTCTCTGCCCTCGTCGCGGGCGACCGCTTGTGCAAGTGGGCCTACGTGAGCTACGTTGCCCGCGAGCTGAACGGTCACCCCCCCCCGACCCCACCGCCCCGCCCAAAAAAAACAACCTCCTCCCAGCCCTACTCCGCATCAGCCTGCCCAGCGTCCCATCTCCCCATCTCACCTCGCCCCGCCTCACCTCGTACCCATCGTCTCGCCCACAGATCAAAACTGGGGCTGGAGCAATGTCAAGGGTTCCTGCGGTGGCCACGACTTCATGCTCGGGCCCAACTCGGAAAGGTTCTGCGGTGGGCTTCATGCATCGACCAAGATGTCCACCGCGACAATAGAGGTGAACCCATTCACCACCGACACCAACGGGGCGCCGTGGAAGATCATCGTGCACGGCGAACACGTACACGACCGAATTGCCGGGCCTAGCCACCGGCTCGACATCGAACTCTCCTACTCGCCCCAAAGGAAGCCGCTGATCGCGCACGGCTTGATCGGGCAGTCCTTTGCCGACCCGGTGCCGCGCATTGGAAGGCTCGACGTCTACCCTGATGCGGGCACCTTTGTCACCTCGGCGCAGGCCGAGGGCGCCATCGAGGGCACTGGCAAGATGTACGAGATGCGCTCGCCCTTCGCGTCCGACTTCGTCTTCTCGCGTTTCGCCGGTGAGGCGGTGATCACAGGAACGGCTGAGGCGGGTATGGCGCTCTGCGACAAGGAGTTCGCCCAGGAGGTTGCGGACGTCGACAGGCGCCTCAGAAACATGGCCTTGGGCGCCGTCAAGCAGGGCATCGACGGCTGGCGGCAGTTCATGCGCGAGGAGGCGAAGGCCACCCTCGTTGCGCGTGCCACGTCGCTCGAGGTACAGCCCGGAGAAGGGCTGACGGAGGCCCGTCGCCGGCTCGCCGAGGAGCCTGTTTGCCTTCCCGCCTCCTCCTTCGCTCTCAAGATTGGCGCGACCCGGCGGCGGCGCGCGCTCGCCGCCATCGACCTGGACGCCGTCGAGGCCGCCAAGATCAAGTCCTTCGCCAACGGCGAACCCCCCGTGACTGTCACCGCCGAGCAGATGGCCCTCGAGGACCTCGGCGACAGCACGGTGCGGGTGACCATCGTGCAGGCCGAGGGGGGGCCGACCGCCCAAGACATCACGGCCGCCGCGACGCTGCCGGCTTTCCTCGCAAGCATGGCCGAGGAGCTCGGAGCCCCGGTGGGCATGGAGGAGGAGCCCACCACGATCTCGATCACGGTGCTCTACAAGCCGCCGCCCTCGGCCTCGCCCTCTCCGCCGCCGCCCTCGGCGCCGCCGCCCTCGGCACCGCCCTCTCCGCCGCCGCCGACTCCGCCGCCGCCCTCAGTCTCGCCCTCTCCGCCGCCGCCCTCGGCGCCGCCGCCCTCGGCCTCGCCCTCTCCGCCGCCGCCCTCGGCGCCGCCGCCCTCGGCACCGCCCTCTCCGCCGCCGCCGACTCCGCCGCCGCCCTCAGTCTCGCCCTCTCCGCCGCCGCCGACTCCGCCGCCGCCCTCAGTCTCGCCCTCTCCGCCGCCGCCCTCGGCGCCGCCAACGTCGCCCACTCTGGCGGCCCCGGCGGGGGAAATGTGCGTGACGCATAACTGGAACAACCCTTACACTGCGTTGGCCCCGAGCGACAACCCGGTTGAGACGTGTAAGGCGCACTGTGCAGGATACGACTACTTCGGAATGGAGTGCCCAGGCGATCATGGATTGTACTGCACTTGCATGTATACGAGCGAGTACGATAGCGTGACGGAGGAGCGGCCGATTTACGAGTGCCTCGGCGAGTGCTCGGGAGGGTCGGATCCCAATACGCCAACGGTGGGGTGCAGTGATCGAAGCTCCGACGGGAGTCGCGTCGACACGAACTGCCCTGGAATGACGATCAGCGGCACGGTGTACTCGGTGTTCAACGGGTACGCGCTCGGCGCGAGCTGGCGGACGACGTACTACTCGATCTGATGATTATGCAAAGCCATAGCATCCGTCAGGTGACAACATGATCGCCACCCACGCTTTCGTTCGCTCCTAGTGGAGCGAGGATGCGCAGATCGACAGCCTCTCCAACTTGATGTGCCCATCTTGTGTCGCCCCTCTTGTGTCACGCTCCACTGCCGTCGCCCCTCTTGTGTCGCCCCTCCCGTGTTGAGGCCTGTAGCCGCGACGCCTTCCGTGCGCCACCGTGCCCCGCGCACCTTAGCGCGGAGGTTCGTTCGACCCTCGAGACGCTCGCGTCAGGGTGAGACGCGACGACCAACGGTGAAAATGTGTCGTGATTGCTGAACACCGATTGCCGTGTGCCGTGCGTCCAAACAATCGATCGGCCATCTCGGCGCAAGCCGCAACGCACGCTCCACGGCGGAGCGAAATTTCAGATTTAGTTTCTCCGACATGCAAGGGTTGGTGCACACAAGTTGAGTGTAGCAGTGTACTAGTCTATCCCTAGGTCTGCGCGCGTCTCTGCGGGCGCTTGCTCTTCAAGACAAAGGCCCGTGTTCCCGACGAGGCCGATTCCCGCCGCCGGTGGGAAAAAAGATTGCGGGGTGACCAGTCCTTGGGCCAGCCCCGAAATGGCCGGCATCGCCCCAAAGCGTAGGCCAGCAACGGCGGCGTTCGCCTGTGTCTGCGCCTGGAGCTGCTCCCGCTGCAGCCCCAGCGCCACCGCCGCTGCCGACGAGGGGCTCGGTGCTGCGGGAAACGGCCGCACCGGTGCCGGTCCCGCGGTGGGGAGCATGATGCCCTGCAACGCGGCATCGTGCGCCTGCTGCATCTGCTGCACTGTCCTCGCCTGCAGCTGCGCGGCCCGCCCCTGCTGCTCGCTGCGCGCGCTCTCGTACTGCTGGAGGAGCTGCGCCTGGTGGTGGAACTGCGCCTGCGCCTAGAGCGGGACCGGGGTCCGGCTTAGGGAAACGGCATCTGCTGCAACGTCGGCACGAGGATCCGAACTGCCTCCCGCGCTGCTGCCTCCCTCTTCGCCTGGACCGCATCCCTCGCAAACGCCTCGCGCGCCAGCTCCTCCCTGCGCGCCAGCTCCTCCCTGCGCGCCAGCTCCTCCCTGCGCGCCAGCTCCTCCCTGCGCGCCAGCTCCTCCCTGCGCGCCAGCTCCTCCCTGCGCGCTTGCTCCTCCCTGCGCGCCAGCTCCTCCCTGCGCGCTTGCTCCTCCCTGCGCGCTTGCTCCTCCCTGCGCGCCAGCTCTTCCCGTTGCGCCTGCTCCCGGCGCGCCAGCTCCTCCCTGCGCACCTGCTCCTGGCGCATATGCTCGTCCCTGCGCGCCTTATCCCGGCGCGCCTGCTCCTCCAGCTGCTGCATCGCCCATGCCGTGGCCTCCCTCTTCACCTAGAGAAGAGGAGCGGAGTTTGCCTCGTGCATTGCCACATCAATTCAAGGGCTCGGGAGCAATCGCCTGCGCCTCCCTCGCCTGCGCCGCCTGCGCCGCCTCGCTCACCCGCCTCAGCTGCTGCACCTCCAAAGCCCGCTGCGTCAGAGCTTGCTGATACGCCGCCGCGCCGGGCTGAGGTGGCAAGTACGCAGGGTGCGGCTGCGGCGCGAACCCCTGTGCGCATGCTGTGCGAATCCCGCCTGCGCTTGGTGGACCTGCTGCGCCTGATGATGTGCCTGCAGAGCGAAGCAGCGCGTCGGTGGGCGGTCAGGGCGCGGTTAGGTAGGGGAAAGGGCTGAGCGAGGCTAGATTGAAGTCGGAGCTACACATATGTGGAGTCAGGGCCGGACAGCCACCTGCCACTGCGCATGTTGCCACTGCGCAGCTTGCTGGTAGTATGCAGCGGCGTGTGCCATCTCGGCCGATTGTTGCGCTGGCAGCGGGACCGCGCAAGGCAGATCGGCGGGCGGCACGGAGGATTGCGGCGGCAGTGGGACAGCACAAGGCAGATCGGCGCGCGGCACAGACGGCTGCGGCAACGGGATAGCGTGAGGTAGCGCGGCGGGCTGCGGCGGTGGCAAAACGGCGGGCGGAAGTGGGCGGGGCTGAGCCGCGTCATCGTCGATCGGCGGCAACTCGAGGAGAGGATTCTCTGCCTGGAAGTTCTGTCGGATCGCGTCAGCCGTTCGAGCGACCGCCATTCGCTCCCAGTACGCACGAGGCGGCTCGGCGGAGCTGGACGCCGCCCTGCCGACACCCTGACTCCGGCGTGTTCAAGTCCGCAGGAGCGCACCGCGTCGCACAGGGCGTGCGCGCGGGCATCGTGTGGATCAACGCGCGCCACCGCAACGACCCGAGCTCACCGTGGGGCGGTTTCGGCCACTCGGGCGTCGGACGCGAGAACGGGTGGGAGGCGCTGCACGAGTACACCGAGACGCAGTCCGTCGTCGTCTGCCTCGACGACACACCCCATTGACTGGTTTGGTGGCGGTGCAACTTACTTCAGGGGTCCGGTACTTTTCTCTTCTGGGTCTGGGTCTGGGACTCGGGCGCCTTGGGCGTCGGGGTGGCGAGCAGGGGACGCGGCTCTGAGCGCCCAGCGACGCGTGCCGGATGGAGTCCGGCCGCGGGTGACTAGGGAAGTTCGCTCAGGATGTGTGGCAGTCAGTGGACAGGCGCCCATGCATCGTTCCCTGGGGGAGATGATCGGGTCAACCACATTTGCAATATGCGAGATTCCGTCGAAGCTCGCGACATACAGCCAGTCTCGCCACACAAGCGTCGATCGGTTGGAAGCCCAGTTTTTGAATGTAGGGACGGCATGGGCGTAGACAATGCCGTTTAGGCGGGCTGAGTCGAATCGTGGGGTCCTGTCGAACAGAACATCGATTCGAGCTCTCACATAGAAATCAAAGGCTCTCCACGCGCTCGCCACTTGAACAGCAACCTTGACATGATGAAACTGTACCGCGTATGCCTTAACTTGGGACTGTTTCCACGCCGAGAGATTTTGCGGCATTCTGAATCTGGGCACGTCTTCGTCGTACATCATCGTCACCCTGATTCGGTTGGGGTCCATGCCCCACATGCGTGATATCGTGGATGCAAACTGGTTACTTCCCAACCGACAGAGATTGTTCGCAAAGCCTACTGCGACGACACTCAAGTTCAAGGGCAGAATCAGGCGTTGCTTGTGATTTTCGACGAGATCGTGCATCTCCTTTGATCTCCATCGGCCAGAGTACAATACGACGCCACCAGGAGGGCTCTCCGAGCCCGACTTCATGGCAGGCCACGCCCTCCCCACAAATGCATTCACAAAGGAAAAGCGATGCTTGGGGATCGTCAGTCCAAAGAGGTTGGCATGCTGGTGCAAGTTGGCGAGCAAGCGCTTCCCAAAGATCACAGCGGTGGACACGTTTTCCCGCAGAGCCTTTTCGGTCAGTCCCCACACGCGCCAGACCAGAGGCGGCGATGCCGACGGTAGGAGGTGGGTGTAGTGCTGACGGACAAAAGTGGGCAGCAGGACCTCTTCGAAGCCGCAAGACAACGTGAATCTTGGCGGTGCGAGTCGCCGTGTGGCGTTGGCCGCCTTGTACATGGCAAGGCACGCCTTCATGGAATCTGGCTCTTCTTTTGGACCGGAGCCGCTGACTGGCTGTGAGAGCGCGAGGCTGCTGTTCTGCGTCTGATTGCCATTCCGTTGTTCAAGAGCTAGCGCAAAGGGAAAGGGATTTGGGGGCACCAGCAAGGCCTCAAACACGCTCCCTGGCAACGCACACTGCGTGAAGGCGCGTAGGACGTGCAGCGGGAAGAACGAGCCCTCGTGCGCAAAGGTAGTTATGGGCGCCCGGCGCCACCACCCGTTGAGCGCAGCCTCGTCACTGGCCTCCATGAGGGTGACAAAGTGCCGCCAGAACGAATGGCCCAAGCGTGTCGTATCAATCTCGCCACGAGTGACGGCGCGGTAGAGTGCCGACGGCGGCGATGCAACCCAGGAGAGCTCATCCCACTGGGGAGAACCTCCTCCTCGTCTGTCCCTCGTCTCTGTGCTCCAAGCAAAGCCGCTGCAGCGACCTGGGCTGCAGTACGACACGCTGTGCTGCATCACCCACTGCTCGAGCCCGGGGCGAAAGAGGGCCTGGTTGCTCGCCATGAGCACGAAGCGTAGGCCGTCGCTGCCGGGGCGGCTGCATGGCATGCCGTCGATCTCGCAGAAGCGGAGATTGGACAGGTGCAGACCGAGCACGCTTGGGGCTCCCGTGATCACCTCCAGCCGCTCTGGGTTGAGAAACACCCGTCGTGAGTGCGTCGCATGGAAGAAGTCCTGGAAGTCCTGCCTCTTGCTGCGACTGACGTGGACGATCAGCGGGGCATACTTGACATTCACCAGCGCGTTGTTGATGACATCGGTGGCACCATCTTCCGGCCTGAGGCCGTATGACAAAACGACGCCAGCAGGAGGTGGCTCTCGCTCCAATGCGCTGCGGAAGGCAGTGCACGCAGGAGGCGCCGAGCCGGAGCGCACCACGGAACCTGCAGTGCTGCTGCCCCGCACGATGCAGGCCACGTCCGCCCGTGACTGGCAGACCCGACCCGCACGCAAAACAGCGGGCGGCATGCAGCACTGGCGTGGCCCGCCGGGGCGACTGGAGCAGCCGTGTCCGCCGCACAGCCCGCAAGTACAACTGTAGCGTTGCAGCAGGTCTGGCCGCTTGGATGCTATCGCTAGCCCGGTCGAACACTGCCCAAACAAATAAATTCCCCCTTTGAGCTGAGAGGTTTTGGGATTTCGCTCCGAGCGACGGTCCAACGAGAATCGTCAAAATCAGGCAACAAGAGACCGGTAGCGCCAGCATGTCGGTGCGTCTTTCTCATGCTCGCGCGCCCGCCGCGCCCGAACTATGCACGGGCCCGGCTCGCCCGCTTGGGGATCCACCCGGCACATCCCCGCCCCCCACCTGCCGGCTTGCCTGCCGTCAGTTCACGCGGGATCGCCCTCAATTGTTAGCAACACAAATCCACCATTTTTTGGGCTGCCTTCAGCCTCGCCTCACAGCCGACCTTCTGGTCGTACGCGGGTTCTTAAGGGTCGTACATGCCGGCCATGACGTCTGCCAACCGGCCGTTCGCAGGCGGTAGCTTCGCACGCCCCCGACAG